ATTTGTGAATAAATGTCGGAAAAGAGAAAGTCCTTCGGACGATCTTTCAACAAATTCAATAGCTCTTACAGCAAACGACTGTCAGCAAACGCAATTATTCTGGATTCGAGCGATCCAAACTGAAAACTTTTCAGCGGAGCTTTCTCATTTGCAAAAGGGTCACGCCTTGTCGCCGAAAACCGCAATCGCTTCGCTCAATCCGTTTGTGGACGAAGATAATGTTATTCGAGTAGGCGGACATCTTTTCAACGCTCCACTATCATTCGAAAAGAAGCATCTCGTGCTTTTAGCCGCTCATCCAGTAGTATACTTAATCGGACGACACGCACATATAAGGTCATGTCATTCGGGCGTGCAGCTCACGTTAGCCACGCTTCGTCATAACTATTGGATTCTCCGGGCGAGAAACATTGTCAAACAAATCATTCATCAATTCATTACATGCACCCAAAAAAAGCCGCTGTTTCGGAATAATTAAAGGGCCAACTGCCGCAGGCTCGCGTCTCCGCTCCCGTGCGAGCATTTCTGCATTGACTATGCCGGTCGCTATGCGACTGTTCTCAGGTCGAGGAATTAAATCGCATAGGATATATTGCATTGTTCATCTGTCTCGCTTCTTGAGCAATCCATTTGGAATTGGTCAGTAATTATATTGCTTCCGCATTTTTAGATGCATTCTCGCGCTTTTTGCACTCGTCGCGGTTTATCCGCAGTCATGTATTCAGATAATGGTCGACATTCGTCGGTGCCGAAAACAAGATAAGTCAAGCTAACTGTGATGCCATCACGAATCCTGATTTCCTTAATAAAAAAAAACCGCAGCGGATCAGATCACATGGAAATTTATCCCCTCTCATGCTCCTCACTTCGGAGGATTATGGGAAGCTAGGATTCGCAGCCTGAAGCATTACCTTCGTCGCGTACTCGATTTTCATACGCTCACATTTGAAGAGTTCATAACGCTTCTTTATCCAATAGAAGCATGTCTCAATTCCCGACCGATCAGACCTTTGAACGATACGGTAGATGATTACAAACCGCTTATTCCGGGTCATTTCTTAATCGGCTCTGCTCTCACAGTACATTCCGGCCCTCCGTTTTGTCTATCTTTGAAAACCGATTATCACGGTGACAATTTATTCGGCAAATCGCGGAACGGTTTTGGAAAATATGGCAATCCAAATACGTGAATACTCTGCAACAGCGAGGTCGATAGCACTCATCCATTAAAATCGGCACGATGGTGCTTATTAAAAATCAACTATTACCTTCGTGCAAGTGGAAGCTTGGACGAGTGACTCACAGTGTTACCCTGGTCCGGATGGCTTAGTGCGTGTTGTCTCCGTGCAAACAGCTCAATCCGAATACAAGCGACCGCTTATGAAAGTATGCGATCTTCCGGTCGAGATCGATTCTTAACTTGACAATGCGAAAATCGCAAACATGTAAATAGCTACCGATACCTATGGAAAATTTAGGATAAGTCTAGTTAATTTTGGCGATATTTAGAATGACTACCGATACTTATGTAAAATTTAGCAGCCAAGTTAAGTTTAGTTTTGTTAAGTCGTTAAATTTTGCGATATTTAGTTAGTAAGATCATGCGTACCCAATGCAACTATCCATCATGGTGGGCGGTAATGCATCGAACTCTGTTCTTTTATTTAAGTTTTCTTTGTGTTTTTCAATTTCAAACGATCATTCGAGCAGTGAACAAGCCACGAGACATCGCGAATATCTTTCCGTATCATCAATTCAATTGCTCGCTTTTCGCTTGTGATTCTATTTCGAAACTAACATTTCGAAGCGGACGGTATGTTCCGCATGACGATCGCTCGACCGCATTGGCTAATTATTAAAATCGGGTTGATGGCGCCATCCCGTCGCGAAACACGAAACTCGATTTCAAGCGATGACATCGCGATTTTGAAAGAAACAATTACATACACGTATTATTTCGTTTGCTCCTAAAAAGCGAAAATATTTCATGACCCTTAGACAATAGACCCGCTAGACAATAGAGTCATGCGATTTTTGACGTCATGCAAAGTGATTGGATCGCGAGGATCACAGGAATGTCCTCGCAGGATAGCAAACACGGGGAAGAAAGATTTCTCCGCCGCAGAGACGAGCCTCACCAAGCGAATGCATCGGACACGCGCTCCTCTTAGTTTTATAGTTATTCAGTTCGCGAATCAATCTCTGCTGAAAAATCTCTACTTTTGTTTGAATCCGCGAGTGCTTAGATCATCGCTACCGCGATTTCTCGGAGCGAAAACGGTAGTTGCCGAGTTTCCGTCGAAATCCGGCCCTTATACTGGCTCCGCAGCATCGTGAATTTATCGTTATCCTCGCTCGCAGGACCGGAGACATCCTATCTCCGCGGTTCTTTACGTTGAATTGCGTTTACGTCGCGTGCAACTTGTTGTAAATAAACTCGCTTTGTATGAAATACACTCTTTATTTTGGTAGCACTGTGTAGATATATTTTACAGAGTGCAAGTACTCTAACAATAAGTCAATAGCATTTTAAATTCAGAAAGGATAACTTTTAATTTTTGCGATATATTTAAGAAGAAAATATTATAAAAATAAAATAGAGAGAGAGAAAGAGAAAAGAGAGATAAAATTTCAGTTTCCTTAAGGGGGCATATACCTTTCTCGGGTTGGAAAAATCGATTTTTTTTGTTGCATATTTTGAATGTTTAATGTCTTAAGAATGAAACCCTAAAGCCGTTTTTTGAAATGCGAACAACTATAGAGGATACAGCGCTTTGTACTGCGCGATGCACAGGCATGCGGTAGCCCTTTGTGGAGCGGTGCGCAGGTAGAAAGGCGGCCCCCTGTAAAATCGTTTCCTTTTAACCTATTTCAAATGTAGCCTAATCTGCAGATTATGAGTTCATTTTTCTCTCAACAGATGACGCTGTAATAGTAGAGGTTATAATAGTTTTTAGGCTATATTCAGTCGGCGTCAGCTGTGTTGTGCGTATTGCCAGGTTTTGTTTGAGTGTTATTTTGTTCTTCGCGATGCGCAAATCGAAAGGTTCCCGAAAAGCTCATTGTAGCAATGAGTATCGTAAAGATACGAAGCGTAAACGGAGTTTTCCAGTCAATCGATGGGATATGGAAAAAGAAAAAGACACCACTTTAAATGCTGCGAAAAAATTGGAAAATCGTTCCGACGTGCCAGTGGCCGAAGATGAAAGTATCGGTTATCGAATTTTGAATTTTTACTCCGTTTTTACTGAAATTTCGTAGTTTGTAAAGTGTAAAGAATGTGGGGGCAACGTTAAATTCTATTTGGAAAGCAGTCGAGGTCTTGGCTTCAAGATAATGTTAACTTGTGAACTTTGCGAGCCGACACTTATTCCTTCTTGCCCGCAAATCGGTTCGGCATTTGAAATCAATCGTCGTTTTACTTTTGCTATGCGCTGCATAGGCCAAGGAGCAAACGGAGAGAAAAAATTTTGCGGATTTACCGCCTCCTGTCGCCGAAAAGTCGCATAATGAAATTCAGAAAAACATTCATGTAGCGTCTAAGGCCGTTGCTGAATTACTTATGAGAGACGCGGTAAAAGAAGAACAGCTGAGGACGAGTTTGGAACAAGAAGTGGATATTGTTACGGAGCTGGCGGTTTCTGGGGACGGGACATGGCGCGAAGCGAGGGGGGGATTTAAGGCGGGAGGAGGCACGAACCAAGCATCCATCTCTTCCGTGGCAGCGGCACTGTCGTGTCTGTGTAGGGCGTTTACACACTTCCTCAGCCCGACAAATAATTGTTAGAAAACAACATTTGCGGGTCTGAAAAAATATGCGAGGTACAAGTGGCTGAATCGGGAATCGAACCCGAGTCTGTACGCTATTCAGACCCCACACCACCGACAGTTCTCATTCGCCTTATATGTAAATATCTATTATTAATAACGCCATCTTTCAGCCGGTGTAAACTAACAATTTTAGGAAATTAGGCTCTCGAGTGACATCACAAATTTCAAATAATCGCGGGCTAGTAAGAGCCAGAACGCGGATGGCAGTGCGTCAGTTTCATAGAAAAATAAGTTTTCTATGAAACTGAATATGTGCACAGGGCACGAAATTTACTTGGTGTATACCAAGATTTTTTAAAAATTAATCTCAATTCGAGATTTATAATAATCCCTCTTTACCCCCCTGGAGAGACGAAGGCGAGAAAAATATCGGGGCGAAGTCGCTGAATCGGGAATCGAACCCGAGTCTTTCGCTTGCCGGGCGACTGCTCTTACCTCTGAGCTATTCAGACCCCACACCACCGATACTTCTCATTTGCCTTATAATATCTATTACTATTAACGCCATCTTTCAGCCGGCGTGAACTAACAAATGACCGGAGACATCCTCCGCGGTTCTTTACGTTGAATTGCGTTTACGTCGCGTGCAACTTGTTGTAAATAAACTCGCTTTGTATGATTGTTCCATAAGTGCAATAAACTGTTAATTGTGATCAGTGCAAGCAATAAAACAGTCATTTCGTGAGTTCAATCACGTCATCATAGTCATCCGTTAACTCCCGCTCCTTCACACCACAAATTTCGGCGTGTCAATCGACGTGTGTTCCGGCAGTCTCCATTTCGAACGCGCTTCCGACGGCATAATCGCAAACTCGGTCGAATGCTAGGACAACTGTGCTTCCCTCCGGATCTCGCGATAATCTTGCTCGCTCGTAAGCAACGAACGAAACAATAGGAAAAAGGAAGAGTGTAAGAGAGGACAAAAAAAAATAAAAAAGAGGAGAGTGATATATGTCATATAGCAATTAGTTGTTATATTTAATTCTTGTTCTATTTTAAATTATTGATATTATGTACTGAAATCATAATATATATATTTCCAAAAAATATATAAAAGCATTAAATAGCATTAAAAAGAATTAAAAACATTAAATATTAAAAACATTAAATAAACATTAAATATACTTACTATATAATTTAATATACTTTATCTCATCAAAAATGAAAGTATTACTAAAAGCATATTAATAATTAATAAATGATAGTTAGATTTTTTATCTTAGACTTTTTTCAGCAAAAATATCAATATTTTATAAAAATTATAATAAAAGAAATGATTGTAAAATAGACTCAAAAAAATGCTATGATGCTTTGTTGTTCTATAGTTTAGCAACAATATTTACCATAGAAATGTTTATATTCTTGATTTTTGGAGTTAAATAATAACGGCTCACTGTAGTTAAAAAAATTAAAAGACATTATAATTAATTCATCTGGTTTCTGATATAACGGTATTATATTTTCGTCAGGAAAGTAGATTTTGGTTAACTGATCCACACAAAAGCCATTCCCACATTCTGTAGAATTCGGTGGATTAAACTGAAATGTTTACGAAACTAAATTAATAATCTTTTATAAACATAATATATATAATGTACTTATGTATTAAAAATAATTAATATATAATTATAAATAATTATTATCTAATTATATATAAAAAAGTAATTATATATATGAAAAAATACACTCTTTATTTTGGTAGCACTGTGTAGATATATTTTACAGAGTGCAAGTACTCTAACAATAAGTCAATAGCATTTTAAATTCAGAAAGGATAACTTTTAATTTTTGCGATATATTTAAGAAGAAAATATTATAAAAATAAAATAGAGAGAGAGAAAGAGAAAAGAGAGATAATCTAATCAGTATTCATTCGAAAAAAGTTCTGGATGTTAACATCAAGTCCGCTTATTGTAAAGCATGCAAAGTTTGGGGCAAAAAACAAGATACTAAAGAGTACAATGAGTGGAAAATTGAACACGAACAAGTCTGCCACATGAATCATCACGGTTCATCTGGCAAAATGGAAGTGGACGCCATCAAAGAGATGTTTCAGAGATCCGAAAACCTGTATGAAGTTAAATATACGGACTACATTGGCGATGGCGATTCAAAAACCTATAAAGGTATCATTGATTCTAAACCGTATGGAGATAATGTGATTATAAATAAAAAGGAATGCATCGGACACGTGCAAAAACGAATGGGCGCGCGACTCCGAAAATGTAAAAAAGAAAATAAAGGTATTGGTGGCCAAAACAAGTTAACTGCGAAGATGATTGACAAGCTCAGCGTATATTACGGTCTTGCAATTCGTCGAAATTATGATTCGGTGGAAAAAATGCAAGACGCCATCTGGGCTACATTCCATCATTACAGTTCGACAACAAAAGATCCGCAACACCAACTTTATCCCGAAGGCTTCGAATCGTGGTGTGAGTGGCAACAGGCAAAAGCCAACGGCACTTTAAACAGGTACGAGCAAAGTTTCAAAACCTTATCTGAAGAGGTTTTGAATGCGATTCACCCTATCTATAAAGACCTGTCTAATGAAACGTTGCTAAAACGTTGTCTCGGCGGGTTTACCCAAAATAATAACGAAAGTTATAATAATTTAATTTGGAGAATAGCCTCAAAAATTACGAACAGCAGTGCTCGCATCGTTGAAACAGCCACATATATAGCATTTTGTCTATTCAACGAAGGAGCCACATCTTTATTAAAAATAATGAACACAATGGGGATAAAAACTGGGCGAATGCAGCGCAATTCACAGCTTCAAGTGACACTCGCCGATTCAGCCAAGCAGACATTCGCGCGCAACACGCGACTCGGGAGGCCAGAATTCATCGCCGACTTGCCAAAAGTCAATTGAAGGACGAAAATTTGGCTAAGGAGGATTCACTTTATGGGCCTGGAATAGATGATTTCATTCAAGTTGAAAAAAATCAGTTTTATTGTAGTGTAAACCTGTTGTAAAACTTTAAAAGCTTTTTTCTCGAAACCATGTTTTCAAAATCGGTACCGGCCGAAACTCGAAAACGGCTCAACCGATTTAATAGCGGTTTAGACCTACCGCAAGTATATAAAATTTTGTAGTCCCTATCAGATGCTTTTTGCAATTTTTTAATTATTTCTGTTTTTTTTCTTTAAACAAAATGAAAATTTTGACCAAAAATCGATATCTTAAGTTTGAAAGTCCGCCATTCTGTTAAAAATCAAAATTTTAGAAATCCCATCCGATAGGGATTACAAAACATCATAAATTTTAAGACCCTTTTTGATTTCTTTGTTTCAGATAAACCAGCTCGGAGATCCCGACGGTACCGCAAAACCCTACAAGACATGCAAGGCCTAGGGCGAGGGGCTGTAGGAAAAGTACTTTCCATACAAATAATAAACAAAAATCAGAAAATGCAATCTAAAATGTGTACTTTTATTTGTGAAAAAACCGATCCTCGTAGCTTTTATATTCTCGCCGAAAAAAAATCATGAAATATGCTATTTTTTTGTCCGAGAAAGGTATATGCCCCCTTAAAATTTCCTCTCGTTTATGTCCCCACTTCGGCATGGTGATAGGCCTTTTGGTTGCGTGTAGAGTCATTCGTTCAAGGGTATACTGGGGATATTGAGCGTGACCAAAACAAAGAGAGACTCCCCAAATCAAGGTATTAGCTGAAAGCTGCATAATGCAGAGGGCGCTGCGTCACAAATAGTACCTCTCGGACACCCTCCAGGAGTATTAGCCAATTCTCGGGCATTCGCGGTTCCACCCAGATGAAATCGCGCGACAGCGCTTCCAAAATCTACACAAAGAAAAATCAATTCTCGAAATTCAAAGAAAGCACTCAAAGCATAAATTTCTTAGGAATCGAACGACCGGAAGACACGGCAAATGCGCGGTCAATCTTTGCAGTAAAAACCTGTGTCAGATATAGTGGCACTTGTCAAACGTCACTACGAAAAGTAATTTGTGAAGAAGATGGTGGCGAAGGCTTAGACCCAAGTTTAAAAAAACCTTACTCTCAAATACGAATATAAAAACTTCAAAGGCGAGCGGTGATGGCCAGGCGGGTGACCAATCCTATGCTCAGACATGAGGATATTATTAGGATAGCGCTAGTATTAGAAGGATATCTTGATAAATAACTAGATCTTAACGAAGATGGTTATGATCAAGATTATGATCAAGAAATTAATCAAAAAGCGCATCCTCAATATTCCTAAGAGCACTCCCACTTTTGTCGGAGTACGGAAAAAAAACAGTGCAATTATTTTAAACTGTACCAATAAATATTCGATAGATAGGCTCAAAATCCTTTCTTCTAAATATCAAATCAATAACATTGCCCTCCGTGTATTATGTACCGATGAACCACCTAGGCGTTATCAAGTAGTAGTGTACGTGATGGAACCAGACATGTCAGCGAAGGAAGCTGTAAAGCTCCGCAAAAATAAAACATGGCTCTGGCAACCATAGAATGGATTTTGAATCGGAAAAGCAAACATAGGGAAGCTATGTGTATCCACTTTGCCCTCTTGATAGGTGATCCTTCCCTAGAGGCTCTCAAAGCCTGCAATTTTAAACCCTTCTCTGGGACGACTTGAACAGTTGTCAGATTGATCGATAGAAACACAAAGAGGAGTAAGGAAAAGTTAATGTGACGAAGGAGCAGGATAAATCGGCCTAATTCATGACAGACCTACCTACATCACAACAAAGGTGCCGCGATAACCTTAACCAAAGATATGGCTGCGATGCAAATAGAAATAGTACTTATCCAGGAGTCATGGCTCCTAAACAATGTTATTAAAGATCTGGGTGTGAATGTGATGTCGTCTACAAAGCAAACACCTAAATAAAAGCTTAACGTGGACTATAGATATATAGGATAGACCGGCCCCTGCCGTGAGAAGCAGTGTAAAAACATATAAAGGACAACAATTTCCATAATGTTATTTTTGTCCTTGCTTAAGTAAGAGTAGTAGAGATAAATGCGAATGAGGGGAATACATGTGCATGCTTGTTTTGTCTTCACCTTCTCCTACCAGTCCCCATTATACATCAAAAGAAAGAGACATAATGTGACTATTCTGTCCGTCATATGTTTCCACATTGCCTCTTACGGCACGGACCGGTCTATTCTAAATGTCTATAGCATGAACAATATAGTACCTTACGTTGTGCCACCGATGGTCGGGATCTATCGATTGGTAATTCTAATTTAAAGTTTTCTAGCTTTCCTATTCCTTTAAAAATCTTCTCATCTTCATATCTTATTTCGCTACTATTTATCGTCGCTTCTAATCCTATCCGCAAAATCGCTAATTCTTTTGCTGTTTCATATCCCATTATTTTTTTACCCTTACCCTTCATTCAACAAAAGTCGCTTGCGTTTTCCTGTCCCCGATTTCGAGGTTACATTTGAATTCCCCTAACTTAAATTCAAGCGCCTTATTTTGCCTATACGCGTAAATTTTCTCTTAAGTTAGAATTTCTTAGGATGGAAGTGCGGGAGAAGAGGCACAGTCCCTTCCGATCATGCATTCAATATTTTAATATTTTTCACACCGTGGATATTTAATATGTCCGTGAATAACTTTTCGATCAACAAGAAAGTTAGTACGACGTACACAAACTTCACTGTTCTTAATATCAATTAATAATCCTTAAGAAAAAGCATTAAAATTGTCAAACTTTAATTTGTTATATCTCCTAAACCAATGCCGTCCTCCACTTAATTTTTACGGAGAATATTCACAAGGAAAGATATGAGTATCTATCTCCGATTTTGATGAGCTTTGAATATGTTGTTGTCTAAATCAAAATAATAGACACGTACATTTTATATGTGCCCATATAACCATTAAAGGGGTCGGCACGATTACGATAACTACGTCCTCCTATTTGAAAGGTCGTTTCTGAAAGCATTTTTGAAGAGAAACACGAGAAAAATAGTAAAAAAATTTCCCGACCAATAGTTTTCGAGATATATCACTTTAAAGTATTGGACATGATAATAAAACGTTACAAAACAGACCCAATGACCTTGACCTTGACATATGTTGTGAAGAGCACCGTCGCGAGTATCTTCCATGTGTACCTTAGAATCGTATGTACTACCAATGTCTTGCGTTGTTTACGTTTTTGAACACAAAAACCAAATTTTCGTTTCGAATCTAACCCAATCCATCTCCCACCCACACAACAATTATGGGGTGAACCTCGCTTCGCGTTGTAAAGTATATGCATGGACGCAGTGGGTTCCGCCCCCCCTACGGGGGGGCTCCACTTCCCAAAGATATAACCTAACCCAAACCTATTTCTGATTTAAAACTAAAATCTGATTTGGGTTACATTATATAACCCAAACCTAATTTTCGTTTTGAATTAAACTTTAACTTTAAATATCTCAAAAATTATAAGAGACCGCCGATTAAGTTATAAGGACAAGTTACTCAGGATCATGATCTTGACAACATATGTCAAGGTCAACATCGTTGGATCCGTTTTTATAAAGTTTTATTATCATGTCCAATACTTTAAAGTGATATATCTCGAAAACTATTGGTCGGAAATTTTTTTTACTATTTTTCCCGTGTTCCTCGTCAAAAATGTCTTCAGAAACGACCTTTCAAATAGGGGGCCAAAGTTATCGTAATCACCCCATAAATCTGCTAAATGCATGCGGTATGCACACATTTCATAGACATGATTATCAAATTTCTAGAAAAAATATAAAAATTTCGTGACGCATGAGAAACAGGAAATTTTATAAAGATATCTTTGTTTAAGAAATTCACTATATATCATGTCTGTGCATGACAAACGGCAACAAGGAAATGACTAGGAAAAATTTTTATTGATAATGAAATTCGGCATGGGGTCGTAAGGCCAAAACATCCTCAGCGACGCTTTTGCTGTATAGTGTCTTTCCGACCTTCCAGAAGCGCGCTTCAGTGTGGCACTGAACGTAACTGTTTGAGAAGTAAGATATCACAGATACTTATTTTATATAAAAGAGAACGCACATATGTAAGTTTCGATCTTTTTCACACTTATACTTTTGTTCGTAATTATTTTTTAATATTTCTATTTTTATATATAATTGTAAAATATTCAACAATTTTATCGTAGCTAAAATTTTGTTTTTTAAAAACTTTTAGATAGCTTAATCAGTTCCTATATATACGATAATTTACCGATACACTTACGTATAAAATTTTATGTATATATAAGATAAAACTTCGATATTTTGTATAAAATTGTAATCTTTCTTATAATAATTATTTATTACGATTCGAGATGTAATAATTATTTATTATGATTGTTACTATCAATTGCTATCAAATGGTAATTAATTTCTTGCAAAAACATCCATACGCGTTCTTTCTGTCGACAGGATCTTTAATTGTGATATATCGACATGAAGGAATCCAAGGAACAGAACAATACTAATAACAAAATGGAAAAGCGATCTATAAGATGGGCCCTTGTCCTTTTTTACGTTTATCTTCATGTTCTTGGTATTATCGGAATGTATTTTTTATTTACCAGAGCGAAATGGATGACGGTATTTTACTGTGAGTATATCGCATATTTACTATATAGAACTACGATCGAAAAATCGTGTATAAATAGAATTAGTTGATTTTCTATTCTAGATCATTTTATTTTGGAATTATATTGTAATAAGAATCTTATTGTGTACAAAAAGAATATTTGTATTGTTAGTTAGCGATTATTGCAATGTCCAATACTTTAAAGTGATATATCTCGAAAATTATTGTTCGGAAATTTTTTTTACTATTTTTCCCGTGTTCCTCGTCAGAAATGTCTTCAGAAACGACCTTTCACAAATAAGGGGCCGTAATTATCGTAATCACCCCAAAGGGTCAACTACCCTTTTAAAAAAAATAGGTTTCTATGTTTCTGAGCAAATTCCATCAAAAGGGTAAAATATATAAAAAAAGTTTTATGGTTTTTAATGTACTTTATAACAATGTAATCAGATTTTTTGAAAATGTTATATTTTTCAAAATTCGACGATGAAATGTAGAGGATGATGAAATGTCGGACGATGAAATGTCACGGACGATGAAATGTCGCGGACGGTGAAATGTCGGACGATGAAATGTCACAGACGATGAAATGTCGCGAACGATGAAATGTCGGACGATGAAATGTCGCGGATAACGAAATATCGGACGGTCAAGAAGCGACAGTGAAGTGTCTTACGAACAAGTGGTAAAGTGAAGTGTACATAAACCGCTGTAAATACCTTTATATTATTATACGCGCTCTGTATCTATCATAGCGCTCACTGCTTAAATATTTAGAATAGGACAAGAGCTCGAAACGTGTTGACCTTGACATATGTTGTCAAGGTTATCACCCTGAGTAAGCATCAAAAAATTTTAGCCGTCGCTCATTGTTTATTAAAAAGTTATAAACAAAAAGCTGTTTCGAATTATACAAGTTATTATAATTTTCTTAGCAAATTGATTTATTTACATGCAAAATGATAAATTGAATACGTGGGCGAGGAAGGAACTCTGCCCTTTCCCCCTGCACCCCTTCCCCAAAAAAAACCTAACCTAACCACAACTCTTTTCCGAGAGAGATATTTTCCGCCCGTTTATATTATCACGTTTCAAGAAATGTAAATGCATTGTGAAAATGTTTTGAATATTGAAATAAACAATTTATTGAATAAGAAGTACATAATTAATTCTTCGTATATCTTTTATTTAGAAATTTCCACGAAAGATCGTTATACTATTGTCATGTAGTAAATATTTTCCTCTTACTTGTGAATTTGTGTTATGGAAATATCAGATACACAGCCTCTATTGTGAATTCACAATCTTAACGTTACTACACGAATTTCTTCGTTTGACATTCAATATTGAAAATCTGATCAATTATATAGCAGAACTGCCAGATCGTGGGATGTGGAAGTCCCACCACTTACCGCGGGACTTACTAAATAGACATAGTCACAGCGTATACGTGTAAGTTCGTGCGTGGGGGCAGGTTACGAACAGCGCTGAGCGATCACGAAAACGCTCGCCGCTCGCACATGTTCGGCCGTCGAAATTTCCTATTCGCTTGTAATATATGCATTTCCACGCAATATAATAGAATAAATGCAAATAGAATAAATATATGATTGGAATAAAAATAGAATATTTATATTATATATAATAGAATAAATAAAATTTATCTTCCATTCTTTTATGTAAGAGAAATAACTTGATAATAAAATAATAAATATAAAAACTCAACAATAATTATATTTTTAAAAAAATAGCGGCAAATTGCGGATGTACGTGCATATATGTACGTACAATTACAAATCTCGTGTAACATCTACATGTATAATTACAAATCTTGAAAGTTCTTAAGACTAGAATAAAAAATAATAAACATATTTTGAAAAATTCTTAATATTAAACGTTTCGATCCTCGACTGGACCTTTTTCAATAAAAAGAAAATAAAAGAACGAGAAAAGGTTCTTGTTAAGACTATTGTTAAAATGCATTTTAACAGTCAACGTAAATTAAAAACAAAGACAAAAAGCTCTATATTAATCATCGATTGATGTGATAATCGATTGATATTATATGATAATATTATTGTTGCATCTCGTTTTCATCGCCGTGTGAATGCAATGTTAAGTTGCTTTTTCGCTCAAGTATTGATTTTTTATATACATTTTTTGTCGTCTTGAGAGTTAGATGTTCACGTGTCACTGCCATAGTGCGAGCAGTTTTATCATTAACTCTTAAAGCGTATTTTATAACGCAAATTGAAGTTAATGTTTCAATGGACATATTATTTCTTTTTCTTGTTTTTGCATCTGGAATAATGGAAAATACGCGTTCAGTTTCAGCGTTTGAGTGACGAAGAGTTCTTACAATGTTTAAAAGCGATCGTAATTTTGGAAAACGAATATTTTCTTCGTTCGTAAAATATAAACCGATTTAACAAATGACTAACATTGACAAAGACGAATATTTTAGAAAAATAGAGGACATGCTCAAGGACTCTCTGACGTACAATATCATTAAAAAAGATCCGACCAAAAAACTCTCTACTTGTTTACGAGATATGTTATCCAGATGGTGGTTCGTTATTTATTTATTTAATTCAGTTATATATGCGTTTATATTAATATACAGATATGTTGTTTTTTGTTTTTGTGATGAGCGTTAGTGTTTTTATGCAAATATTTTATTATCTGCTTTTATATATTATGTTATATATTATTGTTATATGTTATATATTATTATATATTATTTTATATATTTTGTGACGTGACGTTTTTGGGATGTCCGTCACAAGGGTCGAATGACCCGATCGGGGGCGGTTTTTCGGGGGCCTACGTCCTCTCTATGTAGGGAGAAAGCGGCCCAATCGTCGGATCAACGAGATCCGACTTTTGGTAGTAATATTTATCGAAACTGTAAGCTCGAAATGAGCCCGCGAAATGGTTGTCGGCGTGAGGTCGAGCGCCGGGATCCCATCCGGCAGAGAGGAAGGAAGAAGGAAGAGGAGCGGCCGAGAGCGGGAGTCCGAGACTTTCAAGGAGCGAGAGACGTCAGGTCGTAGTTTTTTTATTAACTACACTGCCGATAATTTTGTATTATTACGACAGGAACAGAGGCGAAGGGCCGGAAGGACCCGGCCGAAGGAACGGCCACCCCACCTGCGCGAAGCGAGGGAATCCCAAGGACGGAGCGGCGAGAGGACTCTCGACCATGGACCTATTCTACAAGATAGGAAAGAGAGCCGATCGGACGCTGCCGGAATTCCGCATCTGTCAGTCAAGCAGCCATCGAATTTAGAAATTTCGGGGCGGTGAGCCCACCGATACGGCCGTGACGACCACGAGGATCGCAAGGATCGCAGGGCGGCCCTGCGTAATGCGAAAGTGCGCAAGTGGCGCGATAGCGATTTATCGCGCCGGCGTGTCTCCTACAGGACTCTCGCTCGGCACTGTTCGGCGAGCTTTCCGGAAGGACGCAAAATATCGGAATTTTCACGCTCGCGGGATCGATATTCCGGATCACGCAAAGTATTGCGTCATACGACTCGTACACCACAGTCGTCACCGATAGTTGCGGGATATCGAGACCGATATTCGAGATACGCGCCGAAGGTGTGCCGTGGGCACCGAGAACCGCCCGCCGAACAAATAATTATTATTTATATATAATTAAAAAGAGAAATTACGGTTACAATTTGTATATGTATATGTGTGCGTACCTACTGGATACGTTTGTATGTATACATGATTACATTTGCGTATGCTTCGGGACATTGCTTCTCGATGTCTCGTTTTAATTCTGTATATACACGTTATTGTTTTCCGACATGTCATCGAGATTAGTTTATCTTGACACATACATTGTTAATTACCACCCGACACATGGAACATTCTGTTTTTGTGAACTATTTTATACTGCTAATTATAAGTGATCCTTTTTTCGATTGTAATTTGTATTAAGGTCTCTCTTGTCAATGTTTGTTTTGGCTCCATCTATTGCCTTTCTAAGCATCAAAAAATCTTTCTTACTTCCCGGCCTTCCAACTGTGGAGCGTAACTGATTGAAGATGCGTATGTTACGACGGAAGTTAAGCCGTATAATTTTATATGTGACATGAGGAACTACAAATTTATTTATTTTCTTTATTTATTTATTCCCACCAATTTTATTTATATGACCGTCTTCAACTTATTTATATATTTATTTCTTTCGTGGAATTTGTACCGTACTTGTTAAAATTGCATTGAAGATGGCCCGAAGACTGGGACCGAAACGTACACTTTGTGCTTTTTATTAACATTTAGAATAAATTACTTTTGCGCCCCAATTACTGCGCGTAGCTCGTATTGCCCTATGCTTTATTTATTTATATTTATATTTATAAATCGATTTGTTTCCATATATCATCGAAGGATAAGTCGAAGACCAGTCGACTTTTGTAGGTAGATCAACTTCATATAAAGATTTCCATTCATTTCGCACTTCATCTTCATCGACTAATTTTTCTAATCTGTGATTAACCTGCAGTACTTTAAGAACCATTGATTACATTCAAACAATGCAGTTTTGTTATCGAACACAGCAACACAATGTAAACAGTTATCGTCGATTTCAAAGCCTAAACCATGCGTGATAAATATTCGAACAAAGGTCCCCTAGAAGACCAAGAATTTTAAACAACAATTAAAAGATACTCGAACCGTGAGAAGGCTCAAAATCTAAACAGTGCGCATGCAAGAAACTAATAAATATATCAAATAATATTTTTTCTTGGAAGTCCTCTAATAAAAAAGCGTTACGGGAAGAGTCTCGAATAAAGGCCCTTCTAAGAACTAGAGTGTTATCTTATTGATGTAACTATGATCCGCGACTGAAACTCGCGACAT